CCGAGGAGCGAGTGGAGGGTGTCGACGGTCCCCGAGGCAAACTGCGTCCCGTTGTTGTAGCGCTTTTGCGCGTCCGAGCACAAGGCGCCGCACTTGTCGGCGTCCGTGGCATTCCCGTTGTAGAAGACGGTGCCAAAGAACTGGTTCTTGTTGCCGTTGTAGGATGCGTACCCGAGCATGGCCAGGATGAAGCAGACGCAGTAGACTGCGAGCACCCGCGGAAGGTACCGGATCCCGTCATAGAACGCCACAAACCCGCGCTTGAGCTCTTGGCGCCGCGAGGTGACGACCTCTGGTACGTACGGCGTCTCGGGCACACAGAGGAGCACGGGCAACACCGTGACGACGAGCGCGAGAATGAGCATAAAGAGAATCTGAACCGTCACATCGGACGCGGGCCCATAGAGCGTGATGTAGCCAGACACGAGGAGCGACCCAATGATGCTCAGGGCCTGCGCGAGACTGAACGCCGTGACTTGGTGGTCGCCGGCAAAGTCCGCGATGAGCAGCGCCGCCGGCGCTTGGATCGTGTTGACCGCCACGCCCATGAGAAAGTAAAGTACGATCGCAACGCCGCTGAGCTTATCGGCGGCCGCCTTCTTGTCCTTGGCATCTTGGATGACGCTCGAGACGACGACCATGAGCAGCCACACGACGATGCTGGCGACCGTCCCGCCCAAGATGTACGGCCTCCGACGTCCGTACTTGGAGCGGCAACTGTCACTGAGGACGCTCACCATTGGGTAGACAATAAGCCCAGTGGTAGGGCCAAGGACGCGGATGAGCTGCGCAGCCCACGGCGCGAACGAGTTGTCGAACTGCGGGCCAAACGCTGCCCACAGTGCAGCCCACGCCATCTGGATCGCCAGGCGCGGCGCCGCGAGGAGCAGCATGAAGGGCAGCGAGCAGGTCGCTGGCGGCGGCGCTACCTCGGGCGGCGCGACTGCGATCGTCGTATCGTCCGGCTTGGTGGCCATCGAGTGCGTTGGATTGTGTCATCCGTCAGCTGATGTGGCCGTCTGGCAAACGCGTGCAGAGATGCAACTTCAACGAGCTGATAGGTGGATTTTAAATTCGGT